TTGATCTGCTTGAAATGACTAATATATAGTTTGGAATCGCTTATGTAATGAGATTCTTAATAAAGGATTTTTTTCACATGAACAATCTTCTACTATTTTAAGTGCATAATTAACAATTATTGCAATTACTGCAGCAAAATTCATTAATACTAAAATAGAAAATTTCATGTAGTTTGCAATGTCTACAAATTTTGAAATCAGCTGTTTCTCTTTGATTTTTGATAAATCATATCATCATTGGAAAATCTTTGTCGTTTTCGTTTTACAATCAGATTAGATCTTTATCTTTGTTTATGAAACAGAAACCTATTCCTTGAAGGATATCTCTTCCGGTTTTTTGACCAAAAATTCCTTTTCTAGCCGAGTATAAGAGATGATAGCCTCAAGTACCGTGTGCAATGAGAGATATCATTGGACCATAAATAGCTTACTGTCGCAGAGTTATACTGAATTTAAGAAACTTATTTTTCATAGGAATCATATTAAAATCTTTTGCATTGTCTTGGCGTAATGCATAACATTAATTTTCTGAATCCTAGTTGCTTACTCTAACTTTGTTCGATTAGGTTGATACTTTTACCACAGATACTTGGAAGTATTCTCCACACATAAAATCAGCCGCTTTCGACTTTTCTATCCGAATTTATAGGGTTCTGAAAGTGAACATTCTGATTTAGATACTGAGATCTTTATGTAGTTCTCTCATAAAAAAAAAGCAAACCAGCTTAAGAATACTTCTGAGAGATCTTTAAAAAAATTCAGTCGGTTTTGATAAAGATTAATGGGAATCGTAACGGTCTGGGATGCAGTTCTATGAAAACACTGGAGTTTTCTCGAAACAATCGTGTAAAGCCATATTAAAATTTTTATTCTCGAATGCATGTTTTCTTATCTAATGTGCTTTACCTATGATAAAAATTTGAATCTGATCGGTTGTATTCTCTTCACAAATCAGAAATATTCAAAAGAAGGAGGGTGTGGGATACTCTTTATATAAATATTTGTATCAGAATTGATGTGACGAATTTTTTGATAAGTCTTGTAAGTTATTCTTGAACAGTTCTTATTCATATTAATCATATTATGTGTCAACTCTAAATTGAAAAATTGAAAAAACTATTTTTCAGTTGAAAATAACCTTTTTTTCTTAATTATTCTTCGATTACAACATATTAAATATTGTCGAATGACGCCATCTGTCAAGCTTTTGTATCTATGGGTAGACGACTGAGTTCAATCAATAGTGATGAAGAAGAAAGTAGTAGGCTGAGATAAGTTGTTACATACCAATTCACTTTATTCACTATCAATAGTGTCAGTATGATTGATAACATGTTCGATGAACACTTTCGATAATGAATAATGTGAATTTGCGTATATTTCATCACAATCAAATACGTGACAGATAGGTATTATTAAATAAACATGGTTTTTTCTTTGCTTATTCTTACCTCTAACTTTGATATGTTTTTTTTTTGTACTCTTTTAATCAGATTGAATTGACATATAGATTGATTTCGTGTTAAACATTCTTCAGATACAAATTTGTTTTTATTAATTAGTTATTTTTTTAGATTTGAGACAATATTTTTGAATAATTTGCACATCTATGAATATGATTTATATATATAATTGATCGTATGTTTATTTTTTTTTTCAGATGTTCTTATGATCAGAAATATTAGTATGCAAAAATAATGAAAGTATATTATTATAAACAATTCTTTAGGTAACTATTCTTATTTTTATGATTGTCTATTACGTATTGATGAATTAATATTATATTTCTAATGAACTGATTTTGAGTTAATTGATTTTTTGATGAATCATTTTAATGTACAATGTCCATATAAGTTATATCTTTGTCAAACATACTAATATATAATATTCGATCAACCTATTTTCTATTGATTCATCTTAAGTGATGGTCAAATATCGAAATGAACGAGAACAAGTTCAGTACAAAAGCAATTATGTCCCTGACTTCATCCGTACATAGCTCCATCATGTCGACATTTCTTCATTTTTACTATTTCTCGTTTATTGTATTCATCTGTAATCAACACCGACAAGCTGTTACTCTTTCTCTTGTTCTTTCTTTTATTTATGAAAGGCCATTGGCGTTCAATGTTATGCCTGCACGAATGCGTTTGCATTTACGTAGATTACGTGATTAGTTTTCTTCTGTCTCTATCCTCTCACTATATCCTTTGCGCATGTGTATGTGTATGTGTGTGTTTGTTGAGTTGTCCTTCGCATGTGTGTGTTAACGTCGGACGAGTAGATCAGTATGCAGAGAAAAAACCGAGAAGAGAAAAAAGTTTCACTCGTCCGCTACTGCTTAGATTCTTAGTGCGTTCAAGACACTGGGCGAGTAGTGTGTTATGCGTGTATGTGTGTGTGTGTTGTCGCCGTCATCGAAGACCGAAAGGCATTGGATGAAGTAAAGAAAAGAATGGAGAGAAAACCGAGACAGACGTGCGAAGCAAGGCTATAGAAGGTGTCCCCCGCCGTGCACACGCGCTTAGTTGCAGTGCGCGCGCTCTTGATATTTCTCTTCTATCTTTCTTCGCTTGTGTTGGTCGAGTCTTCCCTTTTTCTCTCTCTCTCGTTCGACTCATGTTGATTTAATCTATGTGGATTACTTCACCATTACCATCGACCATCAGCGTAGTTGAAAAAAAAAAGAAAGCGAGAGAGAGTAAAAAGAAAAAGAGCACGAGTTGCACACATAAAAGGCCAACAAGATCGGGCAACAAGGACAATCAAAGTATAAGTCGAAGGAGAATGCAATTTCTCTTTCATCATCATTATTATGTCCGTTGAAGCGTTTTCTCCTTCCTCTCTTTTTTTTTCACAGCAATTAGAAAGTGTTGCTTTTGCAACGACAAATGTGCAAATAATACGTTTTCTTATTTTTTATCGGTCATTCCAACCTTGATATCATATTCTGTCAAACTTCTTTCTAAAAGTTCTATAAAAAAAAAAAAAAAAAAAAAACAAATATATAAATGCACATGGCATATAACGCACATCTACACATGCACACTCGACATGTTTTAGATGGACGTGCCGTATGCTCGCAGAATTTCTGATGATGATGATGATGATGATGATGAAGGAAAATAGGTTGTTGTTACAATGTTTGTCGCCATCGTTGGTCTTTTTACAGAGAAAAAGAAGAACAGCAAAAAAAAAATCGGGTAGTAATAGTAGTAAGAAGAATAGGCAACGTTATGTGGCTGGACAAACCAGATGTTGCATGCAACGCAAAAGAGTGCGAGAGAGAAATGTAATGGAAGAAAGGAAGAAGAGAAGAGAACGTCGTCACCATCACCAACCAACACTCGAACGACGACCAACGGTAAAGCGTCAAATAATCGTCCGTTTGATTGTAATGCATTTTTTCTCGTTCTTTCTATCCTTGTGGTGTGTCCTGTCCCTTTTACTCTCTTTCTCGCGCGCGCTTGCTTGCCCCTCACTTCGTCTTCGCCCGTTCGCCGCTCTGTCTCTCTCTCTCTCTCTCTTTCCGCACACATGCATACGCACGCACACGATCAGTGTGCAAGGACATAGCAAAGTAAGAGAGTAGAGGACAAGAGAGAGGAGAAGAAAGAACGTTGTCATTAACGGTCACTTCACCAACTAACATACGTATACATTTTGCATTGACGACAACTGCAATTACATTATTCAAATACATGTGCTCGAAGTACGTAATACATATCGATGTCTCAATAAGTCACATCAACATCTCACTAAATAACACATATATTATGTCTCATCTACGATTTAGACAAACCATCTGTTCGATCTCCTTTCAATTGATAAAGCATATTTGATCTAATTGAGTTGACATTTGATAGGTTACTATATTGCTAATTTTCTAAGTGAGATATAGCCTGACCCGTCCAAAACTATCATTAATATAGTTTTCAGCAACACAAGAAATAAGTAGGAGAGAAAAAAAAAAGAATGCATGAAAGATGATTTAAGCCGGATGGGGAGCTCGCCTGCGGACTCCTATTTCATCAACAACTAGCTATTGCAACGACTGATGATGATGATGATGGTAGTCTCGTGTTGAATACCAACGCCCGAGCGATTTTTCTTTCTCACGCTCCTTTTTTTTTCTTCTATTCGTCATCTTCGTCTTGTTCCTTTTTGTCGTCCTCATTCTCCTTCTCTTTTATTTCCATATGGCGGACATACAAGTCCGAGACGAGAGACGACGATGTCGTCGACAGTCGGAGAAAGAGAGAATGCGAGGAAAAGATGATTGCATGTCTAATTTGCGTCATGGCGACTACGACTATGCAACGTTCGCTCGCGTCCTCCTTCTCCATTCTTTCTGCGCACAACCATCCTCTAATCCAATACGAAGGACAAGGCTATTTTTTCTCTCTGTGCGCGCATGTATGTGTGCACGCGCTTGTGCGTGTAGATATATATATATATATATATGTGTGAGACAGAACACTCAATTGCTTGCTATTATCCAGCACGTTGAAACCACGTCCTCCTCATCTTTTTTCCTTCGGCCTGCTTGTATTCATTTTATCACTTGCTATTATAGAATGATATGACGTGAAACATAGGACAATTCGATAGGAAGCAATCGAACTTGTTTTTGTCTAAGACAAAAACACATACCTATGTCTCTCTCTCTTTCTGTTTTTGTTATTCTTGTTGCTGTTTATTGTTGTTGTTGTCATCATCGTTTTTTTTATTTATATTCAATCGAGATGTGTATGTGTGCGTCTCTCAATACCCATCATCTCATTTCTCTCTCCCTCTCTCTCTCTCTTTTTATTTTTCCCATCATCATACATGATGAATCTACAGGATTCAATAGATTATTATTTCTAGAGTGAATGCTCAACGGTACTGTTGAGCCACTGCTGACCTTGAACAGCAGTACTAATCGATTAATGTCAATGATGAAGACCACTGGCGATAGCAATACTATTAATCATGAGACGTCATCAAAAAGATCAACAATGAAAACAGCATCATCATTAGGAATGATGTCTTCAATGAACAGTAATAATAATTCTTCAATGAATAATGACAATCGTATAAAATTTATCGATATGCTGGTATGTGGTTCATGTCAACAAGATTTTCAATTGTCGGATATCGTTAAATTTATTGAACATAAAGCGATATGTGGTAATAAAGAAAATAAACGAAAAATTCCTTATTTTTTATCACAACGACGACAAAGAAAAGGTGACAATGATGACGATGATGATTATGATGGTAATGATGGTGATGATGATGATGATAATGACGATGATGATGACGAAGATAAAAGTCAACAAAGTACTAATTCAAGTGGAAACGAAAATGAACATAATATTCATCATCAACAATTATCAAAAAAACAATCAAAATTTTCCAAAGTACTTGTTGATGCTGGAGCCAATACATTGAACAATACAAGTAAACAAAAAAAAAGAATTTAAAATTTCTATTATAAAATGTTTTGATTTTCCTTATAGATGAACCTTATAATTTTGAATGTAGTCAATGTGGCGATGTGTATAGTACAGGTAAAACTAAATAAAAAAAAAACGAAACAATTAAATTATTTTCTACGTATTCATTGCTAGCTTGGTATCTCATTCAACATTATCAACGTATGCATGGTATAAAAATGTATAGTACATGTCTAAATGAAAACCCTTCAGTTAATAATAATAATAATAATAATAATAATAATAATAATTCAATAGCATCAATGAATACGAGTTCATTATCAAATGATTCTTCAATGCTTAATATTGATCTTAGTTTACTCGAAGCTGCACTTAAAAATGTTACATCATCCAATCGATCACTCACACCATCAACAACATTCGCCTCTAATAAATTGATTGCAGCAGCTAATGCGACTCGATCTGCACAGAAACAACAACAACAACAACAGTCACATTCGTTACGAACGACAACAGATAGTAGTTGTCTCTCCGCAGGTGCCCATTCGAAGGTTAATATACCATTATCAACATTTAATTCATCATATCCAAGTTTATTACAAGAAGTTGCTCATCGATCGAATTCAATCACTAAATTACTTAATGAAGGAGCTAAACAACAATTATCTAAAACATCTGAAAAAAATAAAACTAATAATGACACAATATCGTTAACAGATACACAATTTCTGACACCAAAAGCAATTGATATTACTAGATCTCGAGTTAGAGTTTGTTTTTCTTTTTTTTTGTCAGCTTAAAAAAACTTTATTATTTCTAGATCGAAAATGATTCCAATAATAATGTACATAGTCATGAAGGTAAATGATTTTTATCAATTGAATTTTTCTATGTATTTTTTTTTTGTATTTTTTAAAAGATACAAATCATAATACACGACGTCGAAAAAGACGTCGACAAACAGATTCAGGTCATAGTGATGAATATGAACAAAAACGAGCAATTCCATCAACAAATATTCCTTCACGTCGTTTATCAGCATCATCAACACTTTCAGTTTGTTTATCATCATCTGAAGATGAACCAGGAGTATCGACATATCAACAAGAAATAAATAAAAATAAAACCAATATAAATGAAACATCCATACAACAAGCATCATCTCAGTCACAACGAAAACGTCATCAACGTAAACCAACTCGATTATCAAATGGTAGAAAACAACAATCAGAACAACAAGAACAATTAAATATTTCAGTTAAAAATGAACCACCAACTACAGATGATAATCGATCAATGATGAGAAAAAAATCTGAATTACTTGTTACAAATCGTGGAAATTCTTCCAATGAAAATTATCAATGGCTGCATCAAGCATTTCGATCAATTGTGCCATCAACTGATGTCGACTCATCAATACAACAAAATTCGACTTCACCACAATCAAGTAGAAAAATAAATAAATATTATCTTAATAAAAACATAGTTTTATGCTCTTTTTTCTTTACATTCAGATTCAATAATTGACAGTGGTACTGGTTTAATTTCAACACGTTCATCTCCATCATTAACAAGTACATCACCATGTTCTACATCCGTACTTAACTTATCAACAACAGGCGGTAATACTACTACTACTAATAATAATAATACCGGTGACCAAATTATTATTGATCATTCTCAATCATCACTTCATGGGAAAACTTCTCATCAATCAAGAGCAATAAATCAAACAAATATAAATGGTGGTCATGTATCTAGTCCTAATTCTCAACGACTAATAAAACGTGATCGACGAAATGATACATGTGAATTTTGTGGAAAAGTTTTTAAAAATTGTTCAAATTTAACTGTTCATCGGCGAAGTCATACAGGTTACAAAATTAAAAATTTTTCTCTTTTTATTAATTAAAATCATTATCATTATGTAATTTATTAGGTGAAAAGCCATATAAATGTGAATTATGTGCATATGCGTGTGCTCAATCATCAAAATTAACACGTCATATGAAAACTCATGGTCGTGATGGTAATGAAGCATTTCATTGTCGTTATTGTTCAATGCCGTTTTCGGTTGCAAGTACATTAGAAAAACATATGCGTCGTTGTGAACGTAATCCACAAATTCTCGCTGTATTTAAACAACAACAACAGATAAATTCAACAGGTTCAAATAGAAGATCAACAAATGATATTAAAAATGAATATTCAATTGATGATAATGATGAAATGATTGCTAATGATTATTCATCATTTGCTGAAATAATTGATGAGCAAAATGATCTAGGTTTAGAAGAAGATGATGATGAAATAGATCTTAATGAAGAAAGTGAACATGCATTAAACGAGCAAACTTGAGTTTCCTTTTTTTCCTTTTGTTTATTTTCAGATACCGTTGCCTCTCTTTCTCTCTATTCGTTGTGTGTATCTCTTTAAATTATTTTCATCATTGATTATCTATCACCCTTGTCTTTTTGTTCTGTTCCTATATTCGGGTTATTTCTATATTTTTTTTTGCTGTCTCTTGTGTGTCCCCGGTTGGTTGATCTTTTTTTTTTTATTCAACCGAACAAACACGGAACAGTTTTGTTTTTGGATTTTTGCTTTTGATAGAGTACATGTGTTGATGAATCTGATGAACAGTCTCTTCTATCTATGATCTCTTTTTTTTTTTCTTTACATATATATATAAGCTTTTGTGTTGATTACTTATTTTCGGAAAGAAAAAATTTCTTTGTTCCTATAACCCGTGCATGTCTATGTATTTAGGAAGAGAAAGAACAGTTATAAATGTTTTGTTCCTTTTCTTTTTTGTTTCGGCATTCTATTTGTATCTGTTTTTTCGTGCAAACGACGAAATCACTGAATGACTCTTTGTTATGTTCTTATATCTTATTCTTACATCGGGTTGCTCTTTATTATTTTGTTGTTCCGTATATGTTGTGTGTGTATTTGTATCAAAAGCGAGGTAAATGAACAGTAGTCGAAAAACGACGGCATAGAAGTGTCATTTCATATATATATATATTTATGTGTTTCTCATTTTATGTTAACTGTATCTGTGTTATCTGTTGTAACGTTCATTAACATTACACGTCTCTTTTTCCTGCTTGTTTTTCTCTCATTTTTTTTCTATAATTGATAATTAAGAATTAAAAAAAGACAAAAGCACATGTATTAAAAATGATCTCTTTTGATTGATATAGCATCATAAGAACTAAGAGAAGAGAAATAACAATTTTTTTATTCCTCTACAGATAGGACCAATAATCTAGTGTTATTACTGACAACAAACATCTTCACAAAGCAGAATTGCTTCGGATTCTGCTGTTGTATAGGACTGTTGTCTTTCTGACATTATATGCACGTATAATATCAACTAGAAGAATCATAAATAATTTGTCCATTCTTAATCTATACTGTTGCCAAAACAAAGCCAAAAATAAATATGATTCAGTAATGCTTCTTCATAGACTATGTACAAAAACATTTGTCTTAAAGATTAATAACATAAAAGAATAATACGAGGAAATCATTTTTTTTTGCAATTACTATATATTTTCTTCTGACTCATGATATTTATCCTGCGTTTTTCAAGGCATTAGACGTTATCGATCAGTAGAAGTGAAACAATATATATATATATATTCCTTTTTATATATACATTTATTTGAACAAATGTGCAACCATAGTCACAAATATTAAATGTTACTCGACATAGTTTTAGAGACTCGTTATCCCTACCATCCAAATAAATTTCATTAAGATTTTTCTCTTCTATTACATTATATTGAAGTTATATGATGTATGACAAAATGCATTTGAGTTTACGGATTTCACATTCTGTGGTCTGTTTTGATGACAGCTTTGTATCTATATTTATATTATACAAATCTTGTTCATTTTACAAGATATATAAATGTCACAGAGTTACTTTGTTATGAGAAAATGCTATATAGTTTTATTCTGTATGGTGTATGTTTATGTATTATTTGTGTATGGGCAAGTTTCACCATATGAACTACATCGAACATAAAATTTCAATCAAAAAAATTATCCTATGTATAATTGCTTTATAGTATTAATAAATCTTTATTTGAAAGACATCTATATATATTTTGGAAAAGTAAATTACATACCGAATGTCATGATGTTTTATTTTGAATTATTTATTTGTTTCTTTATGTAAGTTTTTATGCGAAGACATTGTATAGTTTTTATTTTTACCACAGTTTATTTTGTTCAATCTAATATAAATTTTGATATTTATAGAATATGTGCTTGTAATGCATTAGCTGTTAATATTGTGGCAACATTACCAACATGCATTCATGTTGCTAAAACATTCCAATAAATTGAATTTGGATGAAATCAATTTTTAGGAAATACTAAATGCAATCAATCAGTTAAAATGTTCTCGATTTTATTAGATATAATTTGAATAGAAGGTCACTGAGTTCTGCTTGTCAGTATGTCATGAATACTTTTATTTCCATTGTAAGCTTTTAAATAATATTTAAGACTGACATGTGGATTACTGAAAATTACTTCAGATACAAATTCTTCATAAATTTAGATTTTATTTTTTCAGTTTGAAATTATTTTGTTTGGAATCTATGAAGTCTTTTGATTATTTTTTATATAGATTTTTCCTTGTATAAATAAATTGAACGAAGATTATGCCTTTTCTTTTCGAAAAAGAATTCTGGCTAAATCTGACAGATATTTTTATAATTAGAATCGGGAAAAATATTAATCAGTCTTACTATCCTTATTTCATTGAATAATCTTCACAGAAGAGAAAAAAAAGCAGACAAACTTAGAGGCTTTAAGTTATTCGAAATGTGTCAAATAAATCACATATATAAAGAAATTAGTCACTATGATTTGAGAATTATTTGATCCATTTATCAAAATATTGACAGTCATATTTATATTAAGTTCAAAGATATAATACTGAAATCTCCGTATCATATTATAAACGATATTGAAAATGAATTGTCGTCACATGTCGAAAGTTATTGTTATCTGATCGATAGATCGATGATAATACTCTAGACAGGTTTTTTTCATGTGTGACATGATTAATTAGAATTAAAAGTCAATTATGTGAGGAATGTGAGTTTCGTGGGCGACGACTTTTTGTTCGTTCTTTCCTCTCATTGAAGAAAAATATATGTGTGAATTTTGTCGCATATAACAAAAGAACGACAAAATGATGATTCGAAATGAGTGAGCGACATTTTTTTTTACGAAAATTTAAATAAATGCAAGACGATCATATATCAATTAATCATGATTCATAAAATACTAAAAACCAAATATCATCTTGATTCATCACAGCATAATATTGAAAAATTGATTTCAAATAAAAATAATCAAATATTAAAATAAACTGAAATAAAATTACTTGATAATGTAAAAAATAAGCATATTCTTCATGTTTTAAAGAAATTTCACATTGGTTCTATTTTCTTTTTTAGTTGTTGAATATTCAAAAAGTACTTATACTGATCTAAGTGCTCCAATAAAACAAAAGTCAACATATTGAAATCATACTTCAGCGGAATATTATGATAGTTTTATCGAGCATTATGTAAAGATTGATATTTTCAAAGAATTTGATAGTTTACTATTTTATTGCTTTCATAATTTATGTTGGATATGTAATGATAAACAATATCAATTTCAAGAACGTAGAGGAAAAACTACCATTAGCTTATGCTATAAAAGCAACAAAAATAAATCATACAACTAATAACTAATATTTCACTAAGAAGTAACATTTGTTACAGAAAAAATAATATAAACTATCAAAAGCATAACCGAGAGAAAAAAATTATACTAAAACAAATTTTTGTTTGCATCATAATTGATGTTTAGATGAATAATACATGTTTTGAAAAGTGTTGTGTTTGGGTTCAAAGGAAAATTATATTTTTTCTGAATGAAATAATGGTAACTAAATAGGAAAAGTTATCAACTGATCAATCGATTTCACACCAAAAGTAATTGGACTATGAATTATCGACCATGTTGATTCTGAATGTGACAATAGGAAATCTCCTTAGGTCGTTATCTGCTAGTTTTTCAGATAAACAAACATTCTATCAAAATCGCTTTCGATCTACTCAGATTATAAAGCATATCGACTTGTTTATGAGTCAATAACTTTTTATTTTTCCAAATTGGTTTTTTAAGCAAAATAATGCCATGAAGATTTTCAGATTGAAATGTTGATATGTATCTAGTGTATGTATTAAAATGACTGTATTTTCTACGAAAAAAAAAAACATTTGAAACAGAAGAAGTTACCGTGTTTTAGTCAATTAGCTTTGTTCTATGATCTATAACAGAAATGAAATCAATGTGTCTTATTAATTTATTTCGCTCTTAGTATGGCAAAGAGGATGTGTAATGAAACTTTGTTGAAAGTTCACTATGTTTATTATCAAATATCCACAGATGCAATAGTACGACAGCCTGTCAGTCTAGTATTGGTATGGGTCTCAGATCGACCAATCTATCGGTGACCGGTCTACTCAGATTCATCCTGGTATCGGTCGTAAAAAACCTAGACCGGTTCCATCTCTGATTTGAACAGATCAAAAGAGATTTTTTGCGAAGTTTGTTCGTCTAAAAAAACCATTATATGCAGGCTTAAGGGAATTTGTTATATTTTTATTCGAAATCAGTTTATTAAATAGCCTACAATCGACTAGCTTTCTGCAGAAACCAATTGATCAGTTGAAAACGTATCTTCGTAGGTGAGACAGCTTTAATCTAATAGCTCATTAAAACTTATTCAAAGAACCAGCGTTACTGAATACTTCATTACCGATAACATAGAATCAATAATCCTAATGCAAACTAAAGATAGGTCGATAGTCAATACTGATTTAGTTTTCATTATCAAATGCCTTGTGTTAATTTGAAATAATTATAGTATTTCAATAATAATATTGTATGCATGTATAGTACCTAAAATCCATCAAAGAATAATGACATTTACGTAAATGTACATCTGTCGTATCGCTAGCTCAAGCAAAGACTTCGGTTAGGCCGTACATAATTGTAAGCCATTTAGAAAATATTTTCATTTTGATAACTTTGAACAGTTTATAAATTGAACTCGGATGAAAAGGCTATATTCATTTTTAATAAATCCTTTATCAAACAATATGAGATTTATTATTATTAGTCTAACAAACACTTGATATTCATACAAGACTATTGCTATCCGTTCACGTACGACATCTATTGACCACCTAAGAAAAAGAACACTGGAATGGTATGGTATGGCTGGACATTTTGTAAATACTAATCAACTCTATTCATGCGTAGTGTAAGTAAGAATG